AAAAAAAAAAAAAAAAAAAAAAAAAAAAAAAAAAAAAACCTCAAGTTGTTTTCCTTTTGGGGTCGTGTATCAGATACCCTCCAGATCATATATTTATATTAGAATTCATAACAGCAAAATTACAGTCATGAAGGAGCAATGAAAATAATTTCATGGTTGGAACTGTATTAAAGGGTTACAGCATCATAAAGGTTGAGAACCTCTGCTTGAGAGTTATAAATAAAATACTAACAAATATAATAAATATATTTTGACAAAAGTGTACATGGTTTGGTTACTAGGTAATTTTAGGGAGTTTCTGTTATGTTTTTATGAATAATTATGGCATTGTAGATGTGGGTTGTTTTTTACCTTTCAGAGATTGAAATATTTATGAATGACATATCTTGAGTTTGCTTTAAAGTATTTCCCATAAGATTCGTGTGGGAGGGGGAGAGGTGACTCAGCACTTAAGAGGGCTTGCTCAGGACCAGAGTTTGGCTCCCAGCACCCAGGTGACAAGCCAGGTGAGCCTACAAACACCCGTGTTCTCGTTAGTGATCGGTCAACGTGACACAGGCTAGCACACTTGGAGGAGAGCCTCAGTTGGGAAAGCGCCCCCACCAAGCGCCCTGTAGACAAGCCTGTAAGTCATTGCCTTGTTTGAGGATTGATCCACCAGAGGGTCCAGCTCACAGTGGGCGGTGCCAATCCTAGGCAGGCGGTCCCGGGCGCTTTCAGAAAGCAGGCTGTGCAAGCCATAGTGAGCAAGCCAGGAAGCAGCACTCACTCCAGCCATGGCCTCTGCTTCAGTTCCCGCCTCCTGGTTCCTACCATGACTTCCTTTCATGATGGCCTGTGATTGGACCATGGAAGCTGAACTACAGCCTTTCCTCCCCAAGTTGTCATGGGGCTTATCACAACAGAGATCCTTGGGGCGTGCTGGCTGGCCGCAGCGCTGATACTTCAGGTTCAGGAAGATATCCTTACACGGAGCGGCAGGTGCAAAGGGAAGACAGAGGAAACTCAGTGTTGCCCCCCGCCCCTCCCCCTCCCCCGTGTGCGGAAGCAAGTGCACCCACCCCCACGCACAAAATAATCAATGTATGTTTGAAAATTTCCACAGCGGAAGCTTTCAAGATAAACCTAATTGCAAACACTGTGTGTTCACTGGCTCCGGCTCCTCTGCTGTCTGCGGAGCCAGGGCTGGCCGCGGGCCAATGGGAAGATCGCGGGCTTTGCCATCAGCGAGATCTGGCTTCATTTCCAGCTCTGCTCCTTACACACACACACTACGTTACCTTGGGCAAGTCACTGGCTTCTGAAGAACAAGCGTGGGGTACAAGCACCGGCCCGGCTACCTGCTTCAGGAGACTGAAGGAACAGGTGAGTCCACGTGAACACCACACGCCTGGCACACAGGAGACGCTTGTACATTCTTAATTATCTCACGGCAACCCAGTTATTCTCTTTGTATTCTGTTGGTTTTTAAAAATAGACGTAAGAAATTTCAGAGTCTATGAAGTGGAGGTGAAATTTACCTCCCCAGTCTTCTCTCTAGGGGAAGATTTCTGCCTGTCTAGAAAAAAAACAAAAAAAAACAAAAAACAAAAAAAACCTTTAGCCTTTATCTGTCCAGCCTTTTTTAAATGTTTTTTTAAAATATTTATTTATTTATTATGCATACAATATTATTTCTGGGTGTATGCCTGAAGGCCAGAAGAGGGCACCAGATCTCATTATAGATGGTTATGAGCCACCATGTGGTTGCTGGGAATTGAACTCAGGACCTTTGGAAGAGCAGGCAATGCTCTTCACCGCTGAGCTATCTCTCCAGTCCTTAAATGTTTAAATATACACAGGCATATGTATCCGTAGAGTGTGTATTTTTAAAGTAAAATGGAATTTTACGTGTTGCTCTGAAATTTCCCTTTTTCATTTTTTTTAATATTTATTTATTATGTATACAGTATTCTGTCTGTGTGTATGTCTGCAGGCCAGAAGAGGGCACCAGACCTCATTACAGATGGTTGTGAGCCACCATGTGGTTGCTGGGAATTGAACTCAGGACCTTTGGAAGAGCAGGCAATGCTCTTAACCGCTGAGCCATCTCTCCAGCCCCGAAATATTTATTTGTTTATTATGTATACAATATTCTGTCTGTGTGTGTGCCTGAAGGCCAGAAGAGGGCGCCAGACCTCTTTACAGATGGTTGTGAGCCACCATGTGGTTGCTGGGAATTGAACTCAGGACCTTTGGAAGAGCAGGCAATGCTCTTAACCACTGAGCCATCTCTCCAGCCCCTCCCTTTTTCATTTTTATCTGTCTATCTATCTATTTATTTAATGTGCATTGGTGCTTTGCCTGCATGTATGTCTGTGTGAAGGTGTCAAATCTTGGAGTTACAGTTGTTAGCTGCCATACGGGTTCTGGGAATTGAACCCAGGTCCTCTAGAAGAGCAGCCAGTGCTCTTAACTGGCAAGCCGTCTCTCTGGCACTGAAATTTCCTTTCCATATCATGCTGCAGTGTGTATGTGTGTGTGCTCGTGCACACACATATGCGTGTGTGTGTGTGTGCCCGCGTGTGCACACATGCGTGTGTGTTTCAAGGCAAGTACTTAACTGGTTTTACCAACCGAGCCAGGTCCTCCTGCTGCAGTGTGGCTCTTTCTATGTCCACTCGTGTGCTCTGTAGACGTGGTGTTATAGATTTCACTTACATGCATCTGCTCCTGGCTGTAGGTGTTTAGCTGAGCTAGAATCCAATAGCAGAAAAGGCCAGAGGGTTCAAGTACAGTCTGGTAATGCTGCAGATGGTTCTACTGTCCCTCTACAATGTACTGAGGATGTTTTGTTTTGTTGTTTTATTTTATTTTATTTAAGGCTTTGGTATTCTTGACTGTATGTTTTTAGGTTGTGTGCTGAGAGGTACCATCTTCTCTGGCACCACAGATTTCTCAACAAGCACTGAATTGTGGCTGGGTTTGCTTTGATCAGTGGGGAAAGTCAGGCTTCACCCTGCCGCTGCCCCAGTTGGAGGAGAGTGACACCGCATGGCATTGGCATGGCTGGAAGCAGCCGTGGGCTGGATGAGATAAACGGGAGCCCCAGTTTTCTTTGTGAAGATTCTATGAGGCAGGATCCTGAAAGAATAAAGCAAAAAAGCCTCCCCCTCAAAAGAAATCCCAGAGGATGCCGCCGTGAAAAGGTGGACGAGGAAAGAAGAGGGTTGGAGCAGCTCACTTTCCCCTCCTGTTGTCCTGGTGACTTTTAGAGAGGGCAGATTCAGGAGAAAGTTGGTTTAAAAAGGGGGGGGGGGGGAGCCAACCGAGTCCGGCCGGCTTTTCTTACGCGCGAGCACCTGCCCCGCGCTGTACAATCGGTCCTAGGCGGACTCCTTAGAAAGATGGCTTTGTGAGCCGCTCTCAGCTCAGGGGAGGCCAACAAAGGCCAACAACTGGCCTTTGTCCTCGCGGCTCTCCCCGTCGTCCCACGATAAAGCTTCTGGTTCCGACCACGGGGAGGGCTGGGCAAGAAGAAATTCTCCCATTGTCTGTTGGAAATGAGATCAATAAGGTGACATCATTCATGATGTAAGGCTCGCCCTGGGTTCCGACTGTCCCAGGTGCAGGAAATTACGAGAGGCTTCCTTGCTGCATCTATTTCTTTAGGCCCTCAGGCGATCTGGACTCGCAGAAAAGGAAACCTTCCGTCCCTTCCCTCTTCCCAGCTTCTGTGCTCTGACAACCACAGCCTAGAAACTCACAACAGGCTCTCTGCTACCGTGGCCTCTTCCCAAACACAGCCAGCGCTGTTGGAGAATCACTCATTCTCTTGTCTGTCTTTCTTGCAGATGGTACAGAGAGTAAAGCCGGAAAGCACTCGGAGAGCGCGTGCGCAACCATGGAGAGACAGGCTTGGCCCCAGAGGTTCCTGGGGAAGCGACAGCTAAAGGCACAAAACGGACAAACTGAGTCTGGCTTTATCAGCAAGTCAGCATCCTAAGAAGAAACACATAAGCACAAAGATTTAATGGGATGGGGGAAACTGTCCCGAGATATTAAGAGTCAAAAGACAGGGTTGGAGCCATGGCTGTCAGGAAAAGGTGCTTGCCACAAATGCCTAGCCTGAGTCAGTCGCCTGCACCCACATCAAGGTGGAAGGAGAGAATTCATTTCACACTTTGTCCTCTGACCTCCCTGTGACTCATGTATCCACACACACTTTCAACACACACACACTCACTCACTTTCAGCACACACGCCCGCACGCACCCACCCACCCACCCATGATAAATAAATAAAAATGAAATTCAAAAGACATAAAACGCAAGCAAGAACCCTCGTTCAGACCCCGATTTTAACAGAAAGGTCACGAAAGGGATTTCTTTAGATAGGAATCAGATGGGCTGGAGGAATTGCTACTTTTATTAAGTATTTTGTTGGCTGTGGTTATGTAGGAATATCTGCGTGTGAAATGCCAGAGGAGGGAACAATGCGAGGACTGGGATTGGCTTTAAATGTCTCCCTGGATAAAGTAGGTGCGGCTGGGTGGCCAAATCTGAATTTGGTCTTCGGCACTCTTGTAAAGGCGGAAGGGGAATCAAATCCATCGAGTTCTCCCCTCAGCCCCACCCACGTGCCTGCTGTGGCGTGGGAACCCTTCTTCGTCACGTGTGAGCGCGCGCGCGGGAGCACACCCAGTAATAAAACGCATCGATTTTTTTTTCTTTTAAAGATTTATTTATTTATTATGTATACAGTATTCTCAGTACTCTGCCTGCAGGCCAGAAGAGGGCACAGATCTCATTACAGATGGTTGTGAGCCACCATGTGGTTGCTGGGAATTGAACTCAGGACCTTTGGAAGAGCAGGTGGTGCTCTTAACCACTGAGCCATCTCTCCAGCCCGAACGCATCGATTTTTAAGATGCAAGACGGAAGTGTGGCAGAGAGCTGCTGGGCCTGGCAGGTCAGCCTGAGCCCTGGAATGGGTCACTACACACCACTAAACACCTTGGAAACTGTGAGCCCCCCATAATACAGGAGTTACAGCTGCTCTTGGTTGTCCCCTTGACTACCATGTCTGGAACCACTAAAACCTGAGTGACTGTGTACACCTGTGAGGGATTTTTTTTTTTTTCTTAATTAAGCCATCTAAAGTGGGAAGACACACTTTCAGTCTGGATCTTTGGAGGCAGGAAGATCCACGTTAAAACGGGCCACACCTTCTGTTGGCAGCCTATATGAAGGATGTAGAAGAAGGAAGCTTGTTCCCTTTGCTGGCTTGCCCTCATTCTCCCTGGCAAGTCCATTCCTTCACTGGCATTAGAGCCCACTTCTCTGGGACTCTAGCATACACTGAAGACCCGCTGAGACTAATGAACTGAACAAATACTAGATTCTTGAAACTTCCACAGGTAGACAGCCACTGTTGGACTGGCTAAATCACAGCCTGTGAGCCATTCTGATATATGAGTGTGTGTGTGTGTGTTCATTATATAAACCCCATGTGTATGTATGTATGTATATATATATATATATAAAATATATATTCATTCTGTACGTTCTGTTCCTCCAGAGAACCTTAACTAGTAACAGGGAAGCTCAGTTTCTTTGAGTGGCCCAATGCCTTCTGGAAAACAACCCTGAACATGCTGGGGGGCTCTCTGAGCCCCTTAAATAGTCCCTGTATCCGTACAACAACGTCATTTTGCAGATGAGGCACTGGGAAGTTAGCTTGGGGCGGAGTTGTGTGATCACCAGGAGCCAATGGCGCTGGTTAACAAACCACTGTTTTCTGGGCCCCACACTGTGACATTCAATTAAAAATAGCCTCCGACCGGGAAATACGACTAAAAAGAGGCTGAGCTATCATTTCTATGAAAGCTGGGTTGAATGCTTTAGAAAGATTTCACAGTTTCTTTTAAGAAAGTTGCTGATGAGAAGGAGCAGGGGCTGTCTCTGACTCCGTCGCCTGCTCTGGGACCCTTTCATCTTACTGGGTTGCCTCCTCCAGCCTTAACAGAGGCCGCGTCTAGTCTCACTGCGACTGGATATGCCATGACTGACTGCTATGCATTTTTTCTGATGAGAAAGAAGTAGTGGGTGTGAGGATGGGAAGGGGCTAGGAGAAGAGGAGGGAGGGGAAACTGTAATCAGGCTTGGAAAAATAAATGATCAATTCATAATAAAAAAAGAAAAATATCGTTTTTGAATTAGGTGGAAGCAGGCTCTGTGTTATAGAACATCACTTTAAGATGTATTATATTCCTTTATGCTGTGGGATATTGGTTTATTGATGCAAAGATGTGTTGTATTCTTTTATGTTGCATTTGTTTAACTCTGTAAAGCAGTGTTACTTTGCCTGTCTAAAACTCCTGGTTGGTCTACTAAAGAGCTGAATGGTCAATAGCAAGGCAGGAGAAAGGATAGGTGGGGTTGGTGGGCAGAGGGAATAAATAGGAGGAGGAATCTAAGGAAGAGAGAAGGGAAAGGAGGAGGAGAGGGTTCCAGGGCCCAGCCACAGTCAGCCATGGCGTAAGAAGGAAAGAGAGGTGTAGAGAATAAAGAAAGGCAAAAAGCCCAGAGGCAGAACGTGGCTAAAGAGAAACGGGATAATTTAAGTTAGAAAAGCTGGCTAGAGACAGGCCAAGTTGAGGCCGGGCATTCAGAAGTAAGAATGAGTCTGTGTATTTATTTGGGAGTGAGGTGGTGTGCCCCCAAAGAGTGAAAAACCAACTCCACCCCGGCTCTCCATCCCCTGCCTGTTGCTAGTTCTGATGATGTTGCACGGATAAATGAGAGCTGTGATCGTGTTTTCCTCCTTCGAATGCATCCTCCAGGATCCAGTTCAGGTGTGATCTCTGGGGACCATCAGCTCGACTTACACAGCAGCTCCGTCTCTCATCAGTGACATGGGACTTTGCCCCTTAGAGCCGTAGAGTCTGCATCCATGAAACAGAAACGACAAGGTCCTCCTTGCAGGATTGTCATGAGTAAGTGAGGTGCTGGTCGTCTGAGCCAACGAGAAATGCAAATAAAGCTACACTGAGATTTCCTCCCTGCCCCCCAGCACACACTGGCTACCACTGTTTGTCAAAAGGGAAACCTTGTCCACTGCCGGTGGGAATATTAACTAGTCCGGTCACTAGGGAGGTTCCTCAAAGCGCTGAAAATAGATTTACCACGTGACCCAGCGATATCGGGATATTTACCCGAGGGTCTGAGTCAGCACATTGCGGAGACAGCTGTGCATGCATCACTGGTCTCTGCCGCTCTGCTCACAGTGGCTAAGTTACAGAGCCAGCCTGGGTGCCCAGCAACGGAAGGATGGGTGGAGAAAATGGACATACATGATGGTACGCTTTAGTACATAAGAGCAGTTATGTAGAAAAATGTAGAGATAATCAAATTAAGTCAGTGTCAGAAGGACAAGTGTTGTATATTTTCTCTCGTTTGTGGATCCTAGACATTATAGATTCATAAAGCCATACATATACACTGACTTGAAAGCATTGAAGCAAAACTATCTGCAGAGAAACCAGGAGGGAGTAGAAGGTGGAGGTGGGAAAAGAGAGGGGAAAGAAGGGGAGAGTAATGGGGTACAGGGAAAAATAGGCTCAAAGTTAATTCTATATGTACATGAAAATGGCCTTGTATAAACCAGTATATAAAAAATTTGTAACTAAAAAAGCTATCATACTGGGTATGGAGGGCCTGGCACTTGGGAGGTAGATGATGCATTTCTGTGAGCTGGAGGCCAGCCTGGTCTATGGAGTGAGATCCTGCCCCCACCAAATGCTATCTAGGCTATCGGAGATGATTAATGAACGGGACCAACTGCCATGGGCTTGGCTGGTCCTAAATTAGGGGCTTTGAACACAGATGAAGGAAAGTCTGTGCCCCAAGATGCCACGGAGAAGCACACGACAGTCTCCTTACTTTGAGGTGAGCCTAGGCAGGTCACAAACGGAAACTTTTAAAGACATCTTTAGAAACTGACAACCATGATGTCATCCAAATTCTCAGTGAGTGTTTGATTAACATCCTCAGCACTTGAGGGCACCGGCACAGAGCCTTGTTTTGGGGCCAATTTTCTTATCCTTAGCCACAAAATGATTTGTCCCAAAGCTCAAAGGAGCCCACAGGCACAGTTCCAAGAGAAGCAGGTTCTGATTGGAGGAGGAGACAAGGAGCAGGGTCTAGGGGGTCCCTCCAAGTGGGTTCACATCATGGCTCTACCACACACTGGCCATTTGTGGTCCTGGGTCAACTTCCTCATCAGAAAAGCAGGGATAATTCTCATTTTCTTAGATTGTAATAAGGGGAATCTTGGGGAGGACATGCCATCATTCCCTCCTCACTGTGTGTTGTGGTACCACTGTAATCCCCAAGCCTGTTGATTCCATCCTCAGCGGAAGCTCGAATCCTCACTGCTGCCCACACTGACAGACATGAGTCATCCAGCTACAAAGACTGGGAATGAGGCCAGGGAGAAAGTTTGGTCTGCAAAGTTACAGGCTTCCCTGCTCAGAAACAACTAGGTAACCATAGGCTGGAGAAAGAGAGTGGGGACCAGAATGCACCACCAGCGGCAGAAGTGGGGAGAAATGGGAAGTGGGGAGAGAGGAGGAGGGTAGCTTGGCGGGAGCTGGAACCAGAAAGGGGAACCCCTTCATTGACCAGCCTTCCTTCCCGCTGCTGTCTGCAGCGGGTAGACTGTCCATGGCCCACAGAATTCCAAGGTTCATGGGCGTCTGGTTTGAAATGAGTTCTTTGGCTCCCGGGAGCAGCAGCATCAACTCTTGTAAAGCCTCAGAACAGAAAGTGAGGAGACAAGGCCTCCTCCGGAGTCACGGTGCTCGGAAGGAAGCCCTTAACTCTTGCCCTGAGTGAGGTCAGGCAGAGGCAACCGGACTTTGCCTTAGGGTTGGCATGGTAGCGGGACACCTTTACCGCGTTCGGCATATCTCCAACCGCGAACATTAAGGCCGTGGGACTCTGTTGAGTTAAATTGGTGACGGCCTCCATTCTGACTAGGCGCTGTCCAGTCCGTGTCGAAGCCACCTGCCGAAGATGACGCTGTGTAACGGGGTCACACGCACAGATCCGATTTAGTTGTTCTCGCAGTTTATAATTAGACCTTGTTGTCGGGAAGAAAAAAGAAGCTGAAAGCAGCTGTGCTTCACTGCTGTTCAGATCTGTGACCGAGTTTTTTTTTTTTTTTTTTTTTTTAATTAAAAAGGTGGCGCTGATGTTTGTCACGTCTTCGCACCTTGCTCGCGCTCCTCGGGGTGCTGACTGTGTTCTCTGAACTGCGAGCGTGGGGGAGGCGCGACCTGGGAGGACAGCGGGCACACCTCGGGAAAACTCCAGAAACAGAGCCGCTTCCTCTGAACTTCACCTCCACAAACTGCAAGGGAGCAGGCAAAACAGATTCTCGGAAGGTTCATCTTAAAACCTCATGGGTCGGGAACCTGCGATGGCTCAGTGGGTACCAAGTCTGGCTGCCTGAGGTTAGTCCCCAAAACCGGCATTGGTAGAGGGAGAAAACCAGCTACCCACGGTTGTCCTCTGACCTCTCCTAGTAAATAAATATTTTTAAAAATTAGGTGGGCGGTGGTGGCACAGGCCTTTAATCCTAGCACTCGTAAGGCAGAGATAGGCAGATCTCCAATCTGGTCTACCAGAACTAGTTCCAGGACAGGTTCCAAAGCTACACAGAGGAACCCTGTCTCGAACAAAACAAAACAAGCAAAAAATTAAATGGGGTTGGGGCTATATCTAAGTTGGCATATACTCAGAGATAGGAAGCCCTAAGTCCAGTCCCAGCACTGCGTACTTGGGGCACACTTGGAACCTTGACACCCAAGAGGTAGAAGCAGAGGACCAGAATTTCAAGGTCAGTAATTGGAGGCCAGCTTGGGCCACACATGATGCTTTGTAAAACGAAACAAAACAAAGACGGATCTTAGCCAGGTGTGGTGATGGTGCAAATCTGAAATCCTAGCACGCAGGAGCTAGGAACAGGATTGTTCCAGAGCTGAAACCAGCTTGGTCTTCATCCTGAGACTCTGTCTTACTGTTCCCTCAGCCCTCTGAAAAAAAGGGGCAGATTATTTGGAGGCGAATAACTACAGCACTTCTTATGATGTCTTCATGACAGGGGTGAGCTCTTGAGTTGTAGTGTGAACTCAACCTTCCTGCATTCTCTCCTGGGTACACATGGTCGGACCACCAGACTGTGTCCCTGGAAGCAGTGAAAGTCTGTCTGGACTTATTTTATTAGGCTGTCTTCTTGAGATAGACAGGAGACAGAGCTCCAGGAAAGTCAAGTGGTGACTTCCCAAACTGGCAGAGTATCTGGTCCAGATGGTCCGGGGTTAGATCCTCCATGATGAAAAAGAGCCTGTTGGTCCGGACTGACCCTGTCTAGGCTCTGTTGTGGGCAGGTAGTAGGTCAGCTTCGAGGACTAGGGCAAGGCAGCTCTTTAGGAGATGAGTTACTAGGATGTGTTTGTAGGGATTGTGCATTTAATTTTGGAGTTGTGTGTGAACCCCAGCTTTGTTGTGAACATGCGAAACAGGTATATCCCCTGTGTGGCCCCCTTTCCAGCATTTAATTGTTTTATCCTTCTTTTGGGCGGTCCCAACTGTCCCAATAGGAGAAAGAGGTTTAGGGTGGTCTGTGGCTCAGGTGGTAGAGTTCCTGTCCTGGGTTCAGTCCCCAGCATTATATCAGTCAGGTGTGGTGGCCCCCAGACATAGAGGCAGGAGGATCACAAAGAAGCTCAGGGCCATCCTCTGCTATATGTCGTGGGTGGAGACTAGCCTAGGATACATGAGACCCTGTCTTAAAAAAGGAAAAGGCTTAAAGAAAACAAACGAGGACTGTCTTTTTGTTTTGTTTTGTTTTTCATTTTGGAGACAGAATCTCACCTGTAGCCAGCTTGGAACTCACAACGCAGTCCAAGCTCAGCCAACATGCATGCCTCGGGCTCCCGAGGGCTAGGCCTACAGCTGGGAATGCTATGCCCAGTTCAGGACCGTACTTTCCACCTGGCTCTCAGGTTTTCCAAAGTCATGGTTGTTCCCCTCTAGGTTCATTATGGAAAAA